ATTAAAAAATATTAATATAAATATTAATAAAAAATTATTTAGTGCTTCAATAAAGCTATTTTTTAATATTTTGAAACAACCGTTAACGTATCAATCTTATGTATTCAATTAAATTAATATATTGTTTTAATAGATATATAAATCTTTAAAATAAATAAAACTTAAGTATAAAAAATTCAGTATGAATATATAGACGAAGTTTTTAAAATATTTCTATTGCAAATGTTTATTAAATTTCAATATAGTTTGAATATTGAGAAAAATAAATTGTGTTCCGATAAAGAATCTATTGTTGTTCAAAAACTTTTTTTATTTTTAAAATAAGAATATGTTAATAAAACAAACGTTATAATTTTATGTGAAATACATTTACCCGGAAAATAAGTATATGTTAAACATGAAAATATTCATTTTATTAAAAATTATAAAATACATTTTAATTTAAAAATATTTTTAATATTTTAAATTTAAATTCTTTTCAATTTATTTATTATCCACGCATCGCTTATGACGGTTGTTAGAGATTGATGCAGTTCCATGAATTTAAGAAAAAGTAGGTCATACGCGCTGTGCGGCGCACGGCATGCGCGATCGGACCGGGATGCGCACTCGGGCGAATGTTTATAAACAGAACTCGGCAAGTCCGAGCAAGTTTTACGACATGAAATCTAATATACTATAAGATCACACAAGGGTATTGTGCCTACTTTTCTCTCATTGAACATTCTCGAAGGTTCTAGATTTTTCTTTCCACGCCTCGTCTAAGAATTAGTGCAACAACGACGAGCTTTGTTGCCAGCTAAGTGAGCCGCCACACTTACCCTCTCTCGAACTAACACTTCGACATCGTACAGGCCCTCAACAGCTGACACAAGTGTCACTGTGATTTACGCACGTTGTCAAGGAAGGACAACAACAGATCGACTAATAGACTATAACTACAGATTATCAAATCCTTCAAGAGCTCAAAATCTTACCATTAACCACTCATATCTGTGACTAGATTCTTCTACTGTCCCCATAAATTATTAAAGATACAATTGATTACATAATAAATTCCATTCAACATCTCACACCACATCAAGTATAATTATTCATACATCAAGCACACTTTATTCAACTACCATCTTCTCATGCTACCTCACAAGCATGATTGATTGACTACACCAGCTGATTTTTGCAACATCAGAATTACCTCAACTTCAAGATACTCAATCATATCCATGGAAGCTACAATAATCGAGAATACAAAAACACACCCTCATTACTTCAATAGAATTATCTCTCTCTACACAACAGTGCAATATTATTATAATCATTTACAAATAATAAACATTGTTTTACTAAATACATGATATTTTTCAACCTTATCACTTATTATTTCTTTTAAAGTTATTCTGCCAAGAGACTAATCCACTGAACTATTGATTTGGTAGTTTGAGCCATAAACTAAACCTTTAAAAATCAAACAATGGTATTTAACATTAATATGAGTTAGACAAATTTTATATAATTGAAAAACCAAATATATTAAATAAGAATAATTTATATAATTTGCCAATAATGTTCGGAACTGATAGAAATTAAAATTTTAAAGAATGTATTCATTGCTTTTTAGTATATAATTTTATAATTATGTGTGTATTTTAAATAATCACAATATTTTAAGAAAAAATTCCAATACGTTTAAATATATAGGACCATTTTAATAAACATTTTACTTTTTCATAGTTCTTTTTATATAATTACAACTTTAATTAATATTTTTTTTAATATTAATAAAATAGTGTTACAAAAGAATAAAGTGAATTTTCCAAAAACATAAAATTGTCGCTTTTGTTATGATTCGTAAAATAAATTGCTATGTATTATTTCATTCTATTTGAACCTGTATTGGATTGTACGAATAATATACACAATAAATTTAATATATATTTTCAAAACGAATATTTAAATTTGATAAGAAAAATAGTTTAAAGAGAAAAATTCGTATTATTAGTAAAATATTTTAAATTGAACATAACAATGACACTCACTGTGACTAGATTCTTCTACTGTCCCCATAAATTATTAAAGATACAATTGATTACATAATAAATTCCATTCAACATCTCACACCACATCAAGTATAATTATTCATACATCAAGCACACTTTATTCAACTACCATCTTCTCATGCTACCTCACAAGCATGATTGATTGACTACACCAGCTGATTTTTGCAACATCAGAATTACCTCAACTTCAAGATACTCAATCATATCCATGGAAGCTACAATAATCGAGAATACAAAAACACACCCTCATTACTTCAATAGAATTATCTCTCTCTACACAACAGTGCAATATTATTATAATCATTTACAAATAATAAACATTGTTTTACTAAATACATGATATTTTTCAACCTTATCACTTATTATTTCTTTTAAAGTTATTCTGCCAAGAGACTAATCCACTGAACTATTGATTTGGTAGTTTGAGCCATAAACTAAACCTTTAAAAATCAAACAATGGTATTTAACATTAATATGAGTTAGACAAATTTTATATAATTGAAAAACCAAATATATTAAATAAGAATAATTTATATAATTTGCCAATAATGTTCGGAACTGATAGAAATTAAAATTTTAAAGAATGTATTCATTGCTTTTTAGTATATAATTTTATAATTATGTGTGTATTTTAAATAATCACAATATTTTAAGAAAAAATTCCAATACGTTTAAATATATAGGACCATTTTAATAAACATTTTACTTTTTCATAGTTCTTTTTATATAATTACAACTTTAATTAATATTTTTTTTAATATTAATAAAATAGTGTTACAAAAGAATAAAGTGAATTTTCCAAAAACATAAAATTGTCGCTTTTGTTATGATTCGTAAAATAAATTGCTATGTATTATTTCATTCTATTTGAACCTGTATTGGATTGTACGAATAATATACACAATAAATTTAATATATATTTTCAAAACGAATATTTAAATTTGATAAGAAAAATAGTTTAAAGAGAAAAATTCGTATTATTAGTAAAATATTTTAAATTGAACATAACAATGACACTCAATTTGCGAAAGTAAGTAGGCAATCTTATTTGGAATTTTTGAAACATTTAATTTTTCTTCAATAAGTGTTTTTTTATTTCTAGAACTCATTTCCTCTTTTAATAATTGTATCATTTTCAATAAAATGTAGTCATGATTATTGCTTCACCTGAGTAGTGAGCTTATCAATATTCCAAGATGTAAACTGTGTTATTCAAAAAGAATAATAAATAGTAATAAATTGAGTCAATTAGCAAGAATGTACATGTATGCACATATCTGTTACATCTAACCTTATATTTAATCGTAGACTGTTATGATGATTTTATCAATACCAAATTGTAGGATCTTTTATTAACTATTAAATAAATAAATAAATATATATATCACATTATTGCATAATGTCAAAAAACAGTTTATTCATACTGTTATTTAAATTAATTAAAATTTTGTTGTAAATTTATTTAAATATTTGTCCATAATAAAACTATAAAATTGTCTCCTAAATTTGATATTATAAGAATTTGAATTTAATTAGAAAATTTTCATTTTAAACAATGAAATAGTTTTACAGTGTGCAAATTCACTATATGGAAAATATACAGATAGTTCATGAAGACATGTACCTTATATATATGAAATTTCCATATTCATTTAAATACATCATATTAGCTCTTACAGCTCTTGAATAAAATTAAATATTGTTAACAAGACAATAAGCTGCCTAAAAATCCTTGTTAAAGTGTTATTTAATCTAAATATTATGTAGAATATAAATTAAATCATTTTATCTGTATAGTAAAGTAAGACATCGTCCTGCAAGAAATAAGAAGATATGTATATCATAGAAAAGTATTATCTATTTTATGATTTACTTATTGTTACTGAATAAATTGGATTCATTATTTAATGACATATTTTTCTTGCATAATAAGGAATTTTATATAATAATGTCAAGTATACTAATTTTGGTAAAAAATAATAGTATTTTAGATCACAGTATCACTTAATGTAAATTATTAAATCAATGTTGAAAAATATTAATCTTTTTTTTTATATAATAATAGTAACATAAGCAATATGGAATTAAAAATATTTACAAAATATTCTGCCAATGAGTAACTGTATAAAAAATAAGAAAAACATAGAAAATCTAGACGTATTGATTCATTAAATCGATTAAATTTATAATTAAATAAACAAGTTCATTAGTTTTTAAAATGAATGATAAGTTAGGAGATTACATAATTTTCCAGAGATCCATAGTGGAAATTAGACTAGTCCTTTTATAAATGGCTAATTTTATCACAATCAGACTACCTAATTGGATATGACTTCAAATCGTTTTTGGAACAAGGAAATATTGACATCTAAGGATAAAGCACGGATGCTTATATTGTAATACCAAGTTATGCCCATTATAATTATATCAAGAGTTGTAAATATTAGTGCATAAAAAATGTGTTTCGAATATATTATATAAATTATTTCAAAACAATAGTAGCACTAAGCAGAATTTTAAAATTATTATTTTATATACAATAAATTTGAAAATGATAAAATAATAATTAGAACTATAATAAAATTAAAATAACCAAGACTGTAACAAAATTATAATTCTATTATATATATGATGTATAATAAATAATATAAAATAGATATATTACAAACTTATTTGTTTATTTCAAATTTTAAATGTAAAAGTTAACGTTCATACAATAAAATATTAATTGTCATTTAAAATCTGAGAAAATTGCGATATTATTTAGAATCACTGAAAATATATTATTAATAAAAACAAATTATTTTACGAATTTAAAAATTCTTATAACTATATTTACACCAAATGTCATATATCATAATAAAAAAATGTAATACAAATGATTATTATATAAATGCTTTTCTTACTCATTATAACTTTAACGATTTTATGTATACATTTTACTTTCATACAAACTTAATTGATTTTTATTTATTTTAATAACTATTGTAATCTGATACATTTTTAGGTATGAATAGAATATAAGTTTTTTTAGACCAATTTTACAAAAAATATTACCATTTTAATATTGAAGTGATCTCTTTGTTTGAATATCATCTAATATAGTTCTTAATTCTTCATCTTCCAGTCGACCTTCTAGACTTGGTATTAATGCTTTTGCTTCTTCTGGATTTTCTGGACAAAGATTTGCTATTGAAGCTAATTCAAATTTGTGTAATTTTTTCTGGCTTAGTAAACTAAAATATAATGATTAATGAATTAAATAAAATATGTATAGAATGAATGAAAAAATATTTAATTTTTTTGCAATGAAAAAAAGGATTTTAAATAATTTGTTACATTATCAAGTTTTTAATTTTAAATTTATGGATAGTAAGTAGTAAGATAAAATAATTTTATTATACAATGATTTTAATAAAATATTTTATAAATTAATTATTAAAATTAAACTTGAACAACTTTTTATATAACATGAATTTGAAACTTACTTTCTAACAGCAGCAATAGTTTCCTTATTTTTAAATTTTCGAAAGCGATTTGTATAAGTTAAGCTTTTCATAAAAACTTCAGAAAATTCTTGTTCTTCTTCAGCTGATTCATTTTGAGCCTTACGGTGTTCCAAAAGCATATGTACTTCAGAAATTAATAGTGTATCAGCATTTTCAAATTCTGTGTAAAAAGAAAAATTAAATTTTATATGTATACATATTTATATACTTCAATTATTTTGATTTTAAAAAATATAAGAATTTACTAATGTAATAGTTGTAATATAACCTATTATTCTGAAATATTTTTTCAACAAGTAAATACTATAAAAGGTAAAAGTTTACTTTTGAATATTATACTAAATATAATTTATAAAATATTGACATTGTAATATAGTTTTTCACTTTTAATTTTTAATAAAATGTGAGATAATATATAAAATCATTTATTATATAAAATAACTTTTTGATAAAGTATTTTTATTGTATTTTGTTAATATTTACACAAAAATTAGTCCATTTATTTGTAACATTTTTAAATAAGAAAAATATTTATATATTTATTTTGTATAATAAAAATTCTAAATATTAAAAAAAATACGCTGCTAGGAAATAATATAAAATATTTTTGGATAGCATCTTTCATATATTTATAAGTATTAATAATTACATAATTTATAAAATAAATTTAAAACATATGTAAAATAAAATCCAACCTTAAAAATGGTAAAACTTGGTACATCACAGCATTTATTATAGTTTTAAATAATGATTATATTACTTTAAAATATTACTTTATAATGTAATGATATAAAAAAATCAATTGTATTTATTAATTAATATTAATATATCCTTCTTTAGAAAGAAAATCATGAATTTTTTTAGTTTTATTAACATCAATTTTTAATAACTGTCTAGCTTGAACCAATTTTACAGAACCACATTTTTTATTTTCTCCAATAAGTAATTGTTTGATATCTAAATACACATCTGGTAAAACTCTAGTTATCGAGCACAATTCTCTTTCTGCTTCTGATAATTTTTCATATCCAATCATGCCAGAATGTATATAAAGTGGCGGAGCTATTTTACGCCGTGGAATATTTGAAGGTATGAGAATATTTACATTAGGATTTGCAATGATACTATGACAATTGTATTGGATATGACTAATATATTGCTTTCTGTCTTGTTCAAAATGCTGTCGAAGTTTAGAAAGCTCTTCAAATATTGGAATACTATGAAAATACTGTATTCCATTTATTCTGTAATGAAAAAGCTGTCTAAGATAATTTTTTAATTCACCGATTCGATGCAAGCCTTCAGTTATAGAATCAAACTGTATTCCATCAAGAAGTTGGGTAAAAATTCGTAATCTTTCATTAAGTGTTTTACTTATTGTTGCATTATATCTTTGCAAGCTTGACATTATTTTCCTTGAAGAAATTAATCCATGATCTTTTACAATTTTTCTCCGTCGAGCACGTTCTTTTAATCGAAAATTATAAATACGAAATAAAGTAATTTGTAATTCTTGACCTAATTCATAATAATTTTCTAGAGAAAAATCATTATAATTCAAATTAGTAACTAATAGTTCAGCATCATTATCAAAATTAATTTCAAATTCTGATCTTGCAGCATTATATCCAGCCATCAATTTGAAGTTAAGTGTTGTAGGTGCAAATCTGGGTGGATCTTCTACATCTTCTAATTTAAATGTATAAGGTATTGATTCTGAACCAAAAAGACTAGTAGCATTTTCTTTAATTTTAGGTAAACCAAATAATGATTGATTATCAATATAATATTGTAAATAATGTCGTTTACAGTCTTCTGCTGACTTTCCTGGTAATCTATTTGATATATCTATCCAATTTCCAAAACCACTTTCTTGTATCAGATTAAGAAGAATCTTTTCCTCTTTTGCAGTCCATCCTGAACCTTTGATTAATATAAAATCATTTTTAACTATCATGTAATCATGATCATTTTTGTGATTTGCTTTTTCTTGACCATTGGCAAAACATGACGTACAAAGTATAACATGGCCACAAACAGCACAAAGAATATATGGTTCAGAAACGAGACACTTACATATAAAACAAGTAGAATCTAAAGTAAAAATTTGCTTCCTCTCAACTGGCATCTCAAGCTTGTTATAATACTCATCACTCGATATCCAGTCTGAAAGTAAGAAAATAATCACTTAAGACACTAAAAATATTTATATTTAATTTCATTCGACAACATTCTTGTAGCTATACTCAAGTTAGATATATTCATTTATATATATATATAAAATATTTTTATTTGAGGTTATATTGAAATATAAAATTATCAGAGCAAGCGCATTTAGAGTTTGTATTAATTTTGATTGTAGAGTACCTTTTGGAAATTGTAAATCAGCAGCATCTTCTTCAATTATGTCAGAATTTAAATTGGCCATATTTTAAAATATTGAAGAATTAATTTAAATTATTAATGCTTTGATGTAAAAGTAATACAAATTGAAATTGAATCATTCAACGCGGTCACAATTCTAACTAATAATATACTACTGCCCTAAGCGACAAGTTACAGAAGCTATTGCTCATCATAGTAGCCAAATGAAAGGAATATGAAAACTTAAAAAAAGAAAAACATCTATTTCTAAAGAAAAAATTTTATTATTTCGTATGATGCTATAAACGCTTGAGAGGAAAGTCAATATTTCTTTATATATATATAAACGTGTTGATAAACATTCTAAAACGCCGGAAGTACCGGCATATTTTCTTATTATTTAAACACGCAACAAAAGATAATATTTTTAATATTCAAAGTAAAATATATTGAAAATAATTTTAAAAACTAAGTTTTATATCTATAACATTATTGAATAAATTTCTTTATATACCTTTTATATTTTTATTTTAGTTTTTTTTTAATAATACATATTTTCAATTTACTTTTTAAAATTAATTTATATACATAAATTAATTTTTTAACATATTTGTTCGGAAAATAATCCCACAATTTGACTAGTCAGGCCAAACGTGCAATAATTAACGTAGAACAATAAAACCCACTAGATGTTATGTGGGGTTGCCGGGCAAGTAAAGGGTGAATGCACTGATTAATAATTAACACATGTCTTTATTATTTCTATTTATTTGAATTGATTTACAAAATGGTGAATTACAGACGAACTTTATATTTCTTGATAATCTTGTGGTGTTGAAATATATTTACTATGAATGAAGCAGGTTATAATCTATTGAATATTATCGCTAAGAGGTTATCATGATTGTAGTGCTCTGATCGAACACTGGAATGCCATTGTGTTTATCTTAACACGTGTGTAGTTGCCTTTAAATATCGGTCGTAAGAGAGCCTAAATGGAGGTTATGCAAAGCTGTGCGCCATCTGTGGCGGGAACAACTTGCAGTTGGGGGGATTGAGAAGCCAATGTGGGGTTTATAGCTGGTCTTGTTCAAGAGTATGTCCGGGAAGCTTCCGTAGTTGGACTTTATCCGTCCGTCTTCTACATAAGCCGAGAAATCAAGAATGAGTACTAGCTGTAAGGACTTACTTGCAGTGTATCGTGATTTTCCAGTTTCTCTTCGGTGGCTTGTTATGACGTTCTCTTGCAATGTTGCAACTCTTTAGTTCTTCCTTGTCTCCAAGTGAGACCACAAGTGGTCAGGTCCCACGCAATCCAGTCTTGATGAGATCAATTCAACTGTACACTAACTCACAATAGTGGAAAGAACTTATTATTAAAACTCAGCTAGTTAAACGACTCATCTCTCCGGTCCTCCTCAGGTCGTGACTTATCCTTCACTGTAAGAAGTATTTGGAAAGAATAAGTGAGGGTACATTACGTAGTCCCTTCTTAAATGGTTCACTGATCCCGCTCCACTTGGGATCCCTTCTTCCTTTATTAATTAACCAATCAGTGGTTGATCTTGGGTCGCACAATAGATTATGCACGCCTTCATTTCCACTTCCTTCCGGGCTCAGTTCCGAATTTGCTAATTGGGAAAGTGTCGGAAGGTGGCAAGCCTTTTCCATTGGTCACCTCTCTTTGGTTGCCTCATCCCTCTCTGGGACTTGGCTAGAAAAAGGGTCCGCTTGGGCGTGGTCAATTTTCCAATGCGATCGACCAGATGTGGCATAGAACAATACAAGCATTGTCTTAAAGGCCGAGTGCGCACGTATGGTCATTGCATGCGTAGTACGTACGGGTTTTGGGCTGCAGTAAATATTTGTACTCAATGCTTCACGCATATCTGATATTCGTTCTGAATCTACTTTGGGGTTCTCGCGGCAGTAAACCCATTAGGTTCTACTGCACTGGGAGTATGAGCACGTTCCGCTAGAGTTTTCCAGATGTTTTATGACACTAGTACAAATAATTATGAGCAGGAAAGTTTTGAAGTCTTAAATACAATTTTCATGACATTACTTGTCAGATATTTTATTGCCTTACTAAACGGAGTCTTATTCTCAAACAATATTTCATTTTCATTATTAATGGTACAAATTTCATTGCTTTAAATAAAATATTACAAGAGAATCAATTATTCGGAATCAATATACTTAGATAAACATTGCACAAAAAATTGCAAAATAGTATAAGCAAATTATAAACTACTGAATTAAAAGATTTATATTTAGAAGTTGATTCAAACAATATCGCTGATATGAAAATGAAATATTTGTATAAAGTGAAGCAACTATTTGTATACGAATTACATTCCAAATAAATTTTTTTAAATAATGATATTAATGTCATAAATATTTTAATGATAAATTCAAATGATTCAATAAACGTGAAAATTATATTACAAATAATGAATATTTAAGTTTGGATCTAAGAATATTTTGTAAAAATTATAAATTATCATAAGTTTTTCATAATTATGTTAAATTTGATTAATTTAAAATTCTTTTATTCTTAAATTTAAAATTAAATTAAAATTCTTATTACAATTAACATATGCTAATACGTTATTATAATACATTAACCGTTTTTAAATTAAGCCTTAAAAGACATTTTAATTATAATTTCTAAAAATAATTATATAATAATATCAAAATAATTTTAGATTAGTCTATATTTCTTTTATAATATTTTCTGCAGGTATATTGTAAATTATTAATTTCTTTTAAATAAAATTTTAATAATTTTAATATAAAAATCTGATATTATATTACAAAAATATTATAAATAAACATTTTTTAAAATAATTTAAATACCTTACATTTTTTGCATCTGAAATAATTTATGAGGTTTTTCTTTATATTTTATAATTTTTTAATTATAATAAAATATAAGTAAAAATATTTTTTTATTAAATATTTACTTTTAAAGAGTTTAAACATTTTCTTTTTGATTAAGTAACATTAAAAATTGTACTTTCATTGTAAAAATTCTTAATAAAAATAACCAAATACAAATTGTTATTATAAATTTATATTCTTAAACAATAATAAAATGGAAATAATATAACTATAATTGACATAAGTAATTATATTTTAATTAAAAAAAAATAAAAATAAATAAAATTTAAAAATAAAAATGATATATATTTATTATTGAATACATTTTTAATCAATTCCTTTTTTGAAGATTTAATTAATTGCTGTTTTCGGAATTGAAGCATTTATTCGAGGTCTTCTGGATCCAAACCCGATAAAAATAAACAAACACTTTTTCGAACGCTATGTAAATGAAAGATTTTAAATTTATATAATTTCTTTTATATATATTTTTTAATTAATTAAATTATATAATTTTATTATATATTAAATTTGTTATATAATAAATTATACACTGTATAAATTTAAATATAGTTATTCAAATGAATAGGTGACCATTATTTTTTCCTTGGTTTTATAAAATGAATTGTATGATTTAACATTAAACTAAGAAAAATATAAATACAATTGCAGAAATCTTTAATAGTGTTATTTTACTTTGCATCTTAAAAGTGTTTTGGTTTTAGCATTATATTTAACTATATTTTAAGGCATAAAAATATTAGTCTTAATATTTATATATGTTGGGATCCTACTGACATAATACCAATTGTTGTTATTATGTGGTCTATAAAATAGATACCATAATATGTAAATTCCTCTAAATTAAAGTAAAATATAATCGATTATATTGTAATATTTTTATAAACTATCCTTAGTTTAATATGTTTAATATTATAATTGTATTATTCAACGATTATACTATTATTATATGAATACGAAAATTGATTATACTATTATATAATATATATGTGTTCAGGATTGAACCACCCAACAAAAAATAAGAATTTATTGTTTGAATTATTACATTATATTTAGAATAAGGCGCAATATTTTAATTATACGTTGCGAAAAATTCACTGGAAATTTAGCCGTGCACTTTGTCCGCATAGCAACAAAAGAAGCTTCTCGAATTTATCAAAGCTTGCTTCCAGAGAATTCAGTAGAGCCTCCAAGAATTTATAACACCAAATATACGCAGTCGTACTTAAGAAGCAACGAATGAAGAAGGAAATCAGTCTTGTTGAATAATTCAAGTGAAACTAGTACTATCTATCACTAGTCATATCAGTGAAAGTTGAACTCGTCTAAGGGAATCCGTGTAAGGTATATTCATTGTTTATATTGATCATTCTGTCATTATTATTATTGCTGGCCAGCTATCAGTGTGTCCTCCGCAATGTGACGCTAGTCAGGCCGCATTGAGGACGACGACATAGATTGGCATCTCCAGCACATTATTTACACTACTCGTAACTTCGCGGCCCACGTTTACACTATCAGTGAAGCATGTGCGACTTGATTCTTGTCAGACCGCTAATGAAGGTGCCGATACTGATTAGTAGACCCCGCCTATTTCTCATTATCGTCACTTATTAACATTACCGGTCACGCGGCAACGAATTGGTTCCGATCAAACCACAAAACAGGGCGATAACAATCCGCAATAATCCCCACTACCGTCACGAGCCGAATATCGATCAGTTCAATTCGATCGTCGATTCAAACACCTAATTAGTCGCAAGCCGAATCTCGCTCAGTACAATTCGAGCGTCGACTCAAGCGTCTAAGCATCCGTGAGCCAAATAATGACCAGTACAATTCTAGCGTCGACTCACATGACACATAACTCTCGAACAAGAAAGACTCCGTTGTTTTAGATGCTAAAATCCGTACTCAGCACTCCCGAGGTACCTTACGAGGCTTGCACTCTCAGACGATGTTCCGACTTAATGCTCAACTGCCTAGTTACTACAATCAACAATTCACACTATAATTAATAACACCAACATTACTGTAACAACTACTTAAATAAAGGTCACTAAAACCAATTGTGTTTAATCTGATTTGAATCTGAATTGATGCATTAACCCCACCATTAAACCAGAGGTACGGTCTAATCCATCCACCGTGATCTGTGATCATATTGGTGGCTGGAATTCCAAACAATATGTATATATATATATATATATATATATATATATATATGCATATCAAAAAAGATTTTATTTTATTATACATAATGTATTCTTCATATGAAAATCATATTTAAAGACCGTATATAAAAATGTAATAGCTTATACCTCATTTATACAATAGTTTAGAAAATAACTTTTTATATCATATCTTTATAAATTTATGTCTGATATTTAATTAAATAGAATCTGTGATA